CGCTTGTTCGTTGTGCGTCTTACGGAGAGTGGGTTCGGTCGCCTCTTCTCGGAATCCATCCATCGGCTGAAATGCGGCAGGCGACCTTTCCAAGGATTGCCACCCGCTTGCCTGAGTCGCCCAGACAGGCCGGGGGCTCTCAGGCAGTCCAGAGCCCCCCCCTGCTCAGAACTAGAAGGGACTTGTTTTGCTCAGGTGCTGAAATGGGGCTGGTTTGGGGCAGAGTCCAGGGTGCTCCTTGAGCTTCCCTCCTTTCTGCAGCCCTGGAGTTGCTGAAAAGCGCCATCGAGAAGGCTGGCTACCCTGACAAAGTGGTCATCGGGATGGACGTGGCCGCCTCCGAGTTCTTCCGCAAAGGCAAATACGATCTGGACTTCAAGTCTCCTGACGACCCGAACCGCTACATCTCTGGAGAGAAACTGGGAGAGCTTTACCAGAGCTTCATCCAGAACTACCCAGGTGATCAGGGCCAGGCTGCCAAGGAGACAGACAGCAGGGGAGAGCCAGCTCCCAGTGCATGCTCAGGAGCACTCTTTTTGGCCCTCAGCCCATAAATGTATTGGGGTGGGAGAACTGACTTCTCATTGCTCTCTCGCAGTCGTCTCCATTGAGGATCCGTTCGACCAGGATGACTGGGAGACATGGAAGAAATTCTTGACTCAGGTGCAGATCCAGATTGTGGGGGACGATTTGACTGTGACCAACCCCAAGCGGATCCAGCAGGCAGTGGAGCAAAAGGCCTGCAATTGCCTCCTCCTCAAGGTCAACCAGATTGGCTCTGTCACAGAGTCCATCCAAGCGTGAGTCCCGTGCTGCTGTGGTGGGCAGGGAGCAGGCGGAGGGGGGGGGAGAGGAGCTGAAATCTTGCCTCACTCAAGGAGACAGAGGGTGGTCCCCTCTGCAAGAGGATGGGGGGGTCCCTCCCAGGTGGCAGCCTGCATGCTTGCTCAAGTTTTTTCTTCTTCCAGCTGCAAGCTAGCCCAGAGCAACGGCTGGGGAGTGATGGTGAGCCACCGGTCGGGGGAGACCGAAGACACCTTCATTGCAGACCTGGTGGTGGGACTGTGCACTGGGCAGGTGAGACCAGCAGCCCCATGTCTTCCTCCAGCCTCCCAGGGCACCCAGCCTCCTCCTAAAATAATATCTTGGCCTCCATTCGCAGATCAAAACTGGAGCCCCCTGCCGCTCAGAGCGCCTGGCCAAGTACAACCAGCTGATGAGGTGAGGAGACAAATCCCCACCCCCAGCACCCCACGCTCTTCTGGGGAGTTGCTGCAGGGCACTGCTATAGCCTGCTGCTGATTAAGGCCGGCCACCTCTCTGCCTTTTCACAGGATCGAGGAAGAGCTGGCCGATAAAGCGCACTTTGCCGGGCGCAAGTTCCGGCACCCTCTGGCCAAGTGAGAGCTCCAGATGGTGAGCACAGGGGGCTGACAGCAACCTCCTCTGCCCGTGAAAACATGGCCCCAACACTGGTGGGGGCCTTTGGGGTTTAATCTGTCTCTTATCCAAACATGCGTGTAGAAAATCTGTGGAATCTCCCCAACTCCACCTTGGGGGCTGAATAGAAAGGCTGCTGTGCCAATTACTTTGCACGTGTCATTCTTGAGAAGGGGTGACCTGGGGCTCCACGTTCCCGTCTGCAGTGTCCACTTGTTCAAGGAGCCTGGCGTGCATCTGAACAAAGCAGACCTTCCTAAGGGCCTCACTGCTGCACGGCGCCCACCCACCCAACGTGTAAGGGCTTAGCTATGCCTTCATTTCAAGGTATAACATGGGGCCTCTGCCAACTTTTCTTACCTGTACAAAAACTAAAAAAAAAATCTCGTCCCTCGTTCTAAAGAATTGGAAGCAAACGCAAAACAGCACTGACAGGAAGAGTTTAATGGGACATGTACATGGCATACCCCCCCCCCAGATGTTACAACCAGGCTTGTGGGATACCTCTCCATTTCTCGGCTCCCAAAACAAAGCGATGGGGGGAAGGGAGAAGAGAATAAAAATCCAGCATTATTTACACACTTATTGAAGTCATCCAAACGGAGTGGAGGCCAGCTGAGTAACAAAGTCACTGATGCCTGCCCTGCCCCAAAGGAAGCCACGTCACCGCTGCTCTTCCTTGGTGGGCTTGCTTTCTACCGGCATGCAACTGAGCTGCGCGAATACCAAAGAACGGGGCGCTCAACCCGCGGGGGAGAGGAGCGGAGAGGTGGCGGATCTCCCCTAGGGTGGCCCTAAGCGGTGAGAACAGGAGGTAGCTCAGCTCCAGGCCTTCTGGGCAGGAGGCTACGTTCTGCCGAAGGGGCAGAGACCAGGCCGCAGCCCCAGAGAAGATACCGGCCGTGGATGGAATGGAAGGGGGGAAATTCATACGGCAAAGCCAGGGGGCTGCAGCCCCCCAACCAAGCCTTCCAAAAGGCGAGCCGCGGACTGGGATTCCCGCCACTCAAAAGCGACATGCCCAAAAGCTGGATAACCGTGCTTAACTGGGCCGGGAGGGGGCAGGCCCTGGAGGCGGAAGTCTCTGCAGCCTCTTCTGGGCTTGGAAATTCTTCACCCTAGTCACATTAAAAAGCGATTCTAGCCAGAGCTTGAGCGGCCAGGGACGGAGGGTGCGGAGTCCTGCCCGTCCCCACGGAATGCCCCGGCGGCAGCCGGGCCCTCCTAGGAGCTCTTCGCCTCCTCCTCGCTTTGGCGCAGCCGCTTCTTCGCCCGGATCTCGTTCATGGCCTCCTCGATGGAGCGGGTGTCCCTCTTGTGGGCGGCCGGCACTGCAAGAGGCAGCAGGGCAGGGCAGGGCAGG